AGCGCGGGGGGAGGGAGGCTGGGCCGGAGCCTGCAGCGCCATCCTAGCCTACAGCTCTGTCCCGCCCTGCGGGATGGAGCTGCCCTTGATTTATAGCCCCTGCCTGCTCTATAGCTCCATCCTGCCCTATAGCCCAGGGCTGACCACCTTATAGCCCCAGCCTATCCTATCGCCCCACTCCTGACCTATGGAACGGGGCTGGGCTGGAGCTCTGTCCTGCCCTGCGGGATGGAGCTCCCCTTGATTTATAGCCCCTTCCTGCGCTATAGCTCCATCCTGCTGACTACCTATAGCCACATCCTATCCTATTGCCCCACTCCTGACCTATAAACCAGGGCTGCCCCTGAGCCCATAGCCCTGTCCTGCCCTATAAGATGGGGCTGGCCTTGAATGGATAGCCCCTTCCTGCCCTATAGCTCCATCCTGTCATTTAGTACAAGGCTGTCTTAGAGCCTATAGCCCCATCCTACCCTATAGAACAGGACGGTCCTTGAGTCTGTAGCCCCATCCTATCCTATAGCCCTGTCCTACCCTATAGCACAGGCTGCCCTTGAGCCTATAGCCCCATCCTGCCCTCTAAGGCTGTGGCCCCATCCCATCCTATCCTACTGCATAATCCTATAGCTTTTCCAAGGATTTATAGCCCTTTCTTACCCCATAAGCCCCCTTTGGGCCTCTAGTGCATACTGACCCTTGGGGATATAGCTCCCATCCTTCTCAGGACAACTCCAACCTGCTCTATATTCCAGCTGTATGGGAAGGATTCCTGGGAGAGGAGCCCCACACATCCCCTTGTTCCCCCTCCCACCAGCCCCAACACACACCTGGAATAACATTTCCGTTTTATTAAAGTTCATCCAAAACCACAATAAATAAAAGGAATATCCAAAACTGCCGCATACAGAGCAGGTGGGGAGCGAGGGGGTGTCCTGGCTGCACCCTCCAGCTCTGCTCATCACCCACTGTCCCCAAAAGGGACAGGGACAGCGAGGGGACATGCCCAAGGGGCACTCCACCTCCCCAAAGCAGATCCTTGTGGAAAAGCAAGTACAACCAGCAGGAGGGGCTGGGCCAGCGCAGGGTGGGACGGTGACACTCCTCGGGATGTCACCTGGAGCTAAGTGCGGCAGTACAGGCGCTCCAGGGTGGCCACACTGACCTTCTGCTGGTAGTCTTCCATCTTGTCATTCAGCTTCTCGTAGAGCTGAGGGAGGGAGGCAGAGATGAGGGATCCCACACCATCCCAGGAGCACCTGGCAGTGGTCCCTGTCACCCCCGACGCAGGAGTTTGGGGCAGTTGCACCTACCAGGATGCTGTTCTCGTTGGCAGTGCTCTCCCGCAGCGCCTGCAGCAGCTGGTCGATGGCTGTGTAGGGCAGCCACACCGTGGGGGATGTGGGGGACAGAGGCACCTGGAAGGGACAGGAACTCTTGTGCCATGTCCCCATGGAACAACTCCCCACAACCCAACTGCAAGCGAGCTCACCTCGATCCCAAAATACTGGTGCCCTTTGCCCAGCACAGCATCCACATATTCCAACACCAAATCCACAGCCTCCTCCAGCAGATCATAGTTCAGGTAGAGGCGCAGCAGCTCGGCAGCATCCACTTCCTGCCAGGAGAGGGAAAACTCAGCCTGGGAATGTGCCCAGGAGCCAGGACCACACCGAGAGGAACCTGCTCCAAGCCTCAGTACTGGCCATGGAGCACCTGACACCGGTGCCTGGAGCTGGGAGCAAGGAGGTGGGGTGAAACTGGCAAGTGTCTGCTGGAGAAAGGGTGATCCAGCAGCTCTGGGACAGATGGAATTTTGGGGACAGCAGGGTTTTTCAGGGACAGCTGGCTCCCTGTTCTCACCTTGTAGCTGTTAATGAGCCAGTTGGGTAGAGGTATCCCATGTGCCAGGAGCTTGTTGATGACGCAGCGATGGTACAGGCTGTTCTGGGATGGGTAACGCTCCAAGTAGGATGACAGCAGCCTCCAGGCTTCATCTGTGGCACTGCAAGGAAACAATTCCCCTTCAAACATGTGCCAGCAGCTCCTGCCACTGTCTGTGAGGCTACAGCAGGCTCCAGGGGATGTGGGGACAACGTGGAAGCACAGCTCTCCCCATATCCCAGTCCACAGTTCTGCTTTAAGGGGGATTTAAGGACCTGTGACCCTCTGGATTCCCCAAGGCTCCTGTCTCCAGACCCTCCTCCTCCCAAACTGTGGACACAGACCTACCTGGACTCCTTGGTGGTGACCAGGGACGAGAGCTGGTTTGCTGCCAGCCAGTCCCAGGCCTTTGCCTGCGCTGCTTCACCTCCCAGCTGCAGCTTGATGCACCTGCAGGACAAAACACGGTGCAAAGGTGGATTCCTCCAGAGCTCAGCCCTTCTCCACAGCACCAAAGCCACCCCTCAGAGGATATTTCCAAGGAACAGCTAGGAATTAGGTGGATTGGCAGGGTAAGAAGGTTCTTAGGGCAAGTTCTACCCCAGCTGTGAGGAGAGGGCAGGTGAAGATGTGGGGACAGCACTGGGTCCTGGCCCTGGGGAGCTGTAAGGAGCCCCAAGTCCCCTCAGCCCTGTGTCACCTGAGGTAGGGAGAACCACCTGGTCACATACTTAAAGGTGAGTCCCTCAAAGATGGGTGTCAAGGGCAGCTTGAAGGTTTGGCACAGGGTGATGGCACTGTCGAAGAGGCCAGCTTGGACCAGCAGAGACACTGTTTCCTCGGG